GAGGTCTACAGTGAATCTCAGGCCCTCCTACACATTCATTTTCTCCTTATTATAATGCCAATCTGGAACTAGGATAAACCTCAAGTGACACAAACCACCATCCACAAAAAATGAAACCATATCACATGAAAGGTCAATGATATCACTAAATTTACTCACAATGAGAAAATAAATTATGAAGAATAGAAGATCTTTATTTAATGAGTTCTCATCTTTTGCTGTATGTGTGCTTCAGTGAGCTTGTATAATTGCATATCTGTAGCTGTATATATCTTAAAAAGTATGCTTAATATGTATTTATCTATTGAAATATAAATATATATTCATGTATAAAGTATAACATTGATATATACAAATTATATATTTATTAAATTCCATTGACTTTTTAAAAAAAATGTATTTGGCACAGAGTCTTACTACACAGCTCAGACTCATAGTGAACCCCCTGTTTTCAGCTTCACCAGCTCTAGGATTATAGGCATGCACCACCACACCTGGTCTCTTGGCTGGTCCGCACACCTGGGGTGGGTCCAGCATGGCATGTGGTGCCAGGGACCGAATCTCAGTCCCTCTGCTGGCCTAAGTAGGCACTTAATCTACTGAGCTGTCTTACTGACCCTTCCATTGACATTGCTTTACTCATGAAAAGATTTTAATAAAGAAAATCTTTAACAAAATTTCAAGATTTTTATTATTTTCTGATGGGTGGAAGATATAAACATCCCAGAAAATTTCCTTTGAAACCATTGCCAGCAAAAGACCCCATACGAATATAATTTATGTGTTACTATGGCCCTTAGAGTTTTCCAATCCATAATGTAAGGAAAATATAAATCCTTTATATTTGAAATCTTGTGTTTTTATGGTAGGTACCAAAAAGGAAAAATCCTGTTCTTATAGATTAAAGTGATAGTTTTCTTAGAATTCATAAACTACATAGGTAAAAAGGTAAAGGAATCTACCTGAAGACATTCTGAATGTATAAATATGTAGTTCATTGTAATTATTTTCCAAAATTTTGGTCAAATACACATACAAGTGTCATTGTTTTCGGGACCTATAAAATAAATTACATATGATGCTACAAAACTAATTTATAAAATGTACCACACTGTTGTGCTGCTAAAGTCATTAAATAATATTGTAATTATGTGATCACTGTCCAGTGTATACTAACTGATCACAAAAATATAAAATAAAACTTGTCATTACTTTTTCTCCTAAAAATGATTATCACTCTTAACATTCAATGAAAGTGGCTATTGGGTAAGTCTTAATCCAAACTATTATTTATTAAATCCAGAATATAAGAAATTATATGGCATCTATTGCTATTTGACTTGAAAATAATGAGTGTACCTCCTCTATTTCCTAGAGCTTTCTGTGGATTTGAAAATTCTTCTTAGACAATTATTTGGATTCTAGAGATTTCTTTGGATAACAAAAGCCATGCTCTTATTATCCAGATGGAAAACAAAAGAATAGATTACTTCATAAGCACGTTCCTGTATTCATTTCTTGAAATTGTATTTATTGGAAAGGCAGAAACAATATAAGCATTACAAGTAAGAGATTAAAATAAGTAGATTGTAGATACTTGTCAGAGGAGATGAGCAGGCAGGTCCAAAAGGAAGAGAGCAGTGGAAGAAATCCCTTAGCAGGCTTCCTAATGCCCTGCCCACTCACAGAGCTCAGTCAGTGCAGAAATCTCATGGAGCTGTGAAGGGCAGCGGGAGGGAGCGGCTGCCTCAGGGCCTCCAGGAAGCCTGGTGTCACTGGGTCAGCAGAAGCGAGGGAAAAGCGAGGCAGCAAATCTGAGGAAGTCAGGAGAAGCTGCTCCACTTTTTCCCTCACCTAACAGAATTGTGAAACTCAGAAAGCAGTGGCTGGTGCTTTAATTCCGAGGTCAGAATATCACCAGCATCTCTTCAGCCAATGTTAATACAGAGCCAAAGAGAAAGGGACTGCAGGAAGCAGTTGCAGCTTACAGTGCAAACACACTGCATGAGCCATTATTTTATTTCCTTACAGAATCACAGAGGTATGTTTCAAAGCTTAAATACTTATTTCAATGGTGAAATTCTAGTTTTCCCTATATCTAATAAATATGCAATTTATGTCTATATATGAATGTCACATTTATATGTGAAAACATTCATATTTTATTTAAAGATATAATACATAATAAATATAGAAAGATATTTTATTAGACATAAACAGCTACATATATGGACAGCACACATGGACACATACAGCAAAAAATGAGAACTTAATACCTAAGGGTAATCAGGTCTGAGTCATTTTTTTTCTCACTGTGTTTAAATTTAATCAATAATACCATTGACCTCTCATGTGATATGGTTTTATCTTCTGATTTTTTACATTGAAGCCAGGTCCTAAAATAAAAAAATAAAACATAAGGTCTCAAGTACTTTTTAGAAGTACTTGTATGTGATAATTATTTTTTGATACATTACTGAGCACCCTCTTTTTACAATTTTCATGACACACTCTTAATTACTTAGGGATTCTAGGTAAAGGCATCTATAATTTTACTTGCATTGACCTTTCCAGAATCTTTAAAAAAATAGCTGAAAATAACCTATAACTACTGCTTATAGCATGTGAGGTTTATAGCATTTATGTTTCTGTTATTACACAAATCTAAATTAAATAAAAATACCGACTGTCAGTTAGGGTGAGACCCTCAAGAGAGTTAAGACAAAGATAAAAATACTTTATAACCACAGCTGGAGATCTGCTGGAGGCCAGGCCTTAAGGTAAACACAAAATAACCAAAGTTTCATACTTCCTCCAAAGGAAAACACCAAGCCTACTCAAGTCTAGATAGACATCAGTCACACCAGGCAACGACCAAGACCTCCAGCCCCATCATTTTCTACAAGAAGTCTTTGTTCTTTTCACACACACTTGCTAAGTGACTTGTCTCTCTACTGTATCACTACTACCAAAGTGACTACACTTGGAACTCGCTAGGTGGGCATGAGTTGGGAAAAAACTATGGTCAACCAATAAGACCACAAGCACAATTGCTGAAGTAAAATTGATTAAATCCAAGACCAAATGGGGAAGTGAATTACATAGCAAGTGGGCATAAATACAGTACAGAAGATTTTCCTGTAGCGGGTTGAGTTAATGACTCTTCCAGGTGTCTTCAAGGTAAGAGACTTATTTAGAATATTGAACCCTGATGTCTGTCCTTAGGAAGTTATTTGATCTTTTTTCTTTAGGTCTGGCCCACAGAAGCACTGCCTCTTTCTCCCAAAGTTGCAAAGTTATCTTGTCTTCCATACCGGCCCCATTTGAGGAACTGGTCCTGTCTGACTGCCTATGTTTCTAACTCAGCTGCCTGCAACAACAGTATCATACACCTTTAAAAAGGTTGGTGGTCTGGTCTTATGTATATTCTGATCTCCATCTAGATCTTCACTGATGTAGAATTAACTCAGGGGATGTCATGAGGTTACTATAATCAAATAGAAATTAAAGGGACTTTTTTTTTTTTTGCATTGTAGCATGAAGAGCTCAATGTCAGAATCTCTTTGTTCTTTAAAATACAAGAAAAAAGGGGCCAGCCAAATATCTCAGTAGATTAAAGACACTCCAAGCAGGCACAGGGGGTGCAGGTTTGAACCCCAGGCCTTCCATGCAGGCCCCACCCCAGGGGCATGCTGATATAGCAATTGAGACTGGATATAGCAGTGCACACCTGTAATCCCAGCTCTTGGAGGCTGTAAACAGGTGGATCACTATGAGTCTATCTAGTAATGAGACCCTGAACACCCTGTAGACCCTTTCATAGAACACAAAAATAAATAAATAAATAAATAAATAAATAAATAAAGTACAACAAAGTAAAACAAGCAAAAAAAAAAAAAAACTGCTTTGGGGTTTTCCCTTGTGTGTGGTGGGTTTCCCATAAATGTTCCTTTGCATTCTTTTAATGAGTAGAGTGATTTGTTCTAATGGTGTTTGTAAATAGGATCTCAAGTCCTCATCTTGTACAGCAATTAACCACTAAGAAGAATATATGCAGTGCTTTATTTGTTGAAACTGCACTTCCGATTTGATTTGAAACTGTCTCATTGCTGTTTATCAATAAAATTTTGAAAAAAATAAAGATGTTACAGCTTTAAAAAAAATAAAAAAATAAAATGATTATAGTATCAAAAAAAATGTTCCTAAATGTAGGTCTAAATATATGACAAAAGGTATAAAGGTGGAGGCTGATAAGAAAACAGGGCACAATGTGGCCAAAATTCTGAGGAGAAAATAAAATGGAGGGGGAAGTATTGATTATAAGTAAAAGAATTCTATTCCTTCTGATTTTTATTAAATGAGATCTCTGTTAATTGACCTATAAATAGTTCTGACTAGTCTTATTTGTAGTTACAAACTGAAAAACTCACAATAATTATTATAATTTAACATGGCCAGACACATCTGATTGCACTGTGATTTATAGAAAAATAACCTTGTGTATGTTTGTCTTTATGTCTCACCATTCTATAACTAGTTACACAGCTGTTTTGTTTGAGCACAACAAATTTTATTTTTGGCATTGTTAGATTTTTAAGATATTCGTCTATAACTTAAGTTGGCTTGTAGATAGTGTCATTAGTGTTAAAAACAAGCTCCCACCAAGATTTCCATATTTCCAAAGTGATTCAGAGATCATTTGTATTTTGCAAATATAATATATATTGTTATCTATGTACAATAACTTGGGAGTCTTTTATTGGTCAAAAATATGTTCATTTTTTTAAAAATTAAGTCAATTTTATTTTAAAGAAATTTCATGTTGATTTAATTAGGGCCATTTTAATGAGGCTGTCTTCAGAGTAGGCCTTTTCAAAAGAACTGAAGCTTACTTCAGCCATCCCATGTGCCCTGCCACAATTCTTCTATCTCCACTTGAATTATGGACAGTGACAACTGTGGTCTTATATCCAATTTCGTCCAGCAATACATCTTTAGAGCATTTATGGTAGATGGATCTGCCTTAGTCTGACACCCTAAATTAAGAAAAAAATAATCACTAGATAGAAGATTCTGTGTTAAAATGAACAAACGTAAAACAAAACAATGTATCAATAGAAATACCAGGTTTAACATGCACAAAGACATGAAAACCAAGGATGCCAGATACTGAATTTCTATGGCACTGTCTTTTGAACACACCAGCAGGAATAACTGTTGAGTGCAGATACCATACAGTGCAAATTATGTTCATTTTTATGGTCTAGTTCTCATAGGTCATCTAAAATTTGTTAAGCTAAAAAGAGGGTCCTTGTTCTTGAAAAGACTGCTGAACATAACTGTTCTTGATAAATAACAGAGGAGATGCCTAGAAAGTTCTTATTACAGCCTTTGTTCACTAATGGGACACCAACAGTTAGCATAGCCTATGAGAAACACACTATCATAAATGCTGTGAAACAAATTGTAATACCAAAAAGTTAAGTTTTCTGTGGGTAAAACAATAATGTATTCTTATTAAAAGATGTTTTTATAGAACTACTAAATTAAGAGACATGGTTTCCATATAACTATATCATTAATTAAGACAAATCTCATAGTACACTAAATGTATTTATCCCTCCAAGGCATATAGATCTTCTTAGACATGAAATTAGGATTGCTTGTGATGATAAACTTTTTCTTAAAAACAAATATTTTCCTTTCACGTTCCAACAACTTGTGATAAAAAAGTATATTCCAAACTGATATAGGGGAGTGAAACTCACAACCTGAAGGATACCTGGATGAGTTTATGTTTTTTACAATTGAAGAATAAATTTTAGGAGCTCAAGCACCATTGCTTAGGTAAACTTATTAAATTGGGGACCAAATGGGAAAATGCGTCACTTAGCAAACAGGCATGAATATAGAACAAGGAATTTTACTGTAGGGGGTTCAGGTAGTGACTCTTCCTGGCTTCCTCAAGGTGACTATCAGTACAAGATACTTATCTTTATGGAGGTATGCATGTGTTTGATCTTTTACCTTGAGATCTGGGCAATAGCAGGGAGTGTCTGTCTCTCTCACAGTTACAATGTACTCTGTCTTTCATACTAGCTCCTTCTGAGGGCCTCACTCTGTCTGACTGCATATAATATTTCTATCTAATTCAGTTGCCTACAACAAAACCAAAATGAGACCATCAGTCAAATAATAGCTTTAAAAAAGTTTAAGTATGATAAAGTATGATTATACATATATTTTTTTAAATATGACACTAAAACTTTCTCATAGACACTGATAAAGCCCTTTTAAGTAAAAGTCAGAATACTGTCATGAGAACCAATAATTATAGGCATAAAGATGGCTATTTTCAGATATGAGATGATTATGTGTGGTTAACTCCCTCTAAAGAACATCTTATTAGAAAGGCCCCTTTATGTTGGGAACAAAAGGTTACTCCTGTTCTCATTGGCTTAACTCTATTAGGATGAACATGATGTACACAATTTACAACTTTGCTGGTAAAAGACTGGTTTTCTTGTCCTAAAATTAAGTGGGAAGCACTCTATGTCACTCACTTGTTGTACTGAATAATTTATGGTCCTGGATATGCCCTAAATTGATAAGGAGATATACACTGAGATTTGTGGAGTTACAAGGAAGGAGAGTCAAAAACATTGACAAACCTGCAAACTTCCCCCATCTACAACATTAACAGTACTAAGATTAGAGGATGTCATACAATACATTGAGGCCTTGCCCAACTATATTCAATAGGCCTTAAATAACACCTTTATTAGTCTGTGTCTCCTAAATTAAAAAAGTAAAATTAATGAGACAAGACATCTTCAAAAATCAGATTGGTTTGGCTGCAGCAGAAAGGAATACTTGCACAATCAGAAAAACTACATGTTGTGCCTGTATTCCTAATACTTCTGCTAATAGCTCAAAGGCTGTTCAAGGTATTAGATTACAGGTTAAGACTATCTCAGGTTCTGAAATTCCCTGTACTTTTTCCTTATCCCCTTGTGGAAAGCTATTTCTGGTTCTTCCCAGCAGAAAAAAAAATGTTGCTTAATAGTCTTGTTCAGCTTATTGTTTGGCCAAGATATATTCTTTCTTTGGCCTTACTTCTTCTAGAATTAAAGCTATACACACAACCAAGACAAGAATGATGATGTCTACTGAGGATCTTAAGTTATATCCTTTCCATAGTATCACTGGTTGCCAGCCACAGTTATGATGTCCTTGAGCCTGAAGTAGCCAGAATAATCACCTTTTGCTCCCTCATACCAGTTTGGGATACATCTCAGAGGGGAGAATAGTATAGACAAATAAGTAAAATAAAAATTTTAAAGTCAATCAGATAGGGCTAGCTTAGGAACATCAAGATAGAGATGAAAGCACATCACAACCATGTTATAAAACACATCTTTTGGAGACCAGGCTTCAAGGTAAAGATAAAATAACCTACCTGACATATTTCCTCAAAAGACAAAAACTGAGCCAGTAAAGTCTAGATCAACACCAGTCACACCAGTTAGTGACCAAGACCTCTAGATCCATCATTTCCTAGAAAAGTTTCGGTTCTATCCATTCCCACTTGTTATATGACTTGCTTTCCCTTTGGATCACTATTAGCTAAGTGGCCATACATGCAAAAAACAACAAAAACCAACAACTGTGCCCTCAAGAACAACAGAAAGAAAGACAAAAATAATGCACAGTAAACTAAATACTAAATGTTAATAAAGTGAAACTTTATTAATAATAATGAAATAATGTGGCTGGGGAGATGGCTCAGTAGAATAAGTGCTTGCCTTGCAAGTGCAAGGGCTTGAGATCAACACCCAGTTCCACCAAAAAATAAATAAATAAAATAATAACAAAAATTCAAATTTGAAGGCAAAGAGAATGAGCAAATAGGAGAAGAAACAAGAAGAAAATAAATAAGAGGCAGAGAGCAAAATAAAACAAAATCTACCTTAGATTAAAAAAACCAAATAGAATTAGATAAAGGTAAGAGTAAAAAAGTAATGGGAAGAAAGAAATAACTATCTCGGGCTGGAGAGATGGCTCAGTGGTCTAAAGCACCTACTTAGAACAAGCTTCGCAAAAGCATCA